AAACTATACATTTTTGGAAAGAACTAGTCCTGGGCTACTTCCAGTTTTTCGGTACCCCGATTCATGTCTTCTCCAAATGCTCTTTGGAGCCACTTGAAAATTCCACTATTTTTGGCAAAATTTGATGATTTTTCAAAAATTCGTCAAAATTATCCAGAGCTGGAATTGCATATAAACTATACATTTTTGGAAAGAACTAGTCCTGGGCTACTTCCACTCTGCCGGTACCCCGATTCATGTCTTCTCCAAGTGTCTGTTTTTTGCATTTGAAAATTCTATATTTTACTACCATATTTGACGAGTATAAAATTATTTTAACTAATTTTTATTTTATATATTAATTTTTTGAATATATTTTAATATAATTTTACTTTATTTCTTAAAAAACATTTTATTTGGTGCTCGTTTTATTAAAAAATAAATTTTAATTCATTTGAAAACGAATTTTATAGTATGTGGAACGTATTTGACATATGTGGTGTTGGACGTATCTGGCCGACGAATTTAACTTCACACCCTTATAAAAAATAGTTGTACTCATATATGTATGTACAGGATGTAATCATTCATATACATATACCTCCGTAATGTGCACATATTTTTAAATGCATCCCTACAGTTTTCTAAGGAGTCAATGTATATCATTTCAGACTGTATTTTTGCACAATTTTTCGAATTTATATATTTTTAACTAATTCATAAATAAGTATTCTTTGTAGTGCAGAGATTATTTGAACATAACTTTAGTGTCTCCAAGTAAACTATCGGAAGGACAGTCGTCCATTCTTAGCAAAAATCACTAGTTGGGGACAATGACCCCGAACTACCGGAATAAGTTTAAGATACATTTAAACACATTTATACATTTGCATATGTAAGTGTTGATATACGTTCATGTTATGTACTGCATGTTACCAACAATACGTTGCATTATTGTCTACAACTATGTAAAATAAACAACTAGGGAACAACACGACATAGGACTTCCAACATTACAGTGATGTACAGACAACAATATAATAGAACATGTTTTTGTTGTTTTTTTTTTTTAAGTGTAATTCATACCACTTGTGTGTATTTTTTTTACATATGCATTGTATAAAAAAGAGAATAAAATCATTATAAATTGTAAAACTATATAGTAGTCGTACATAAACTTAGTCTATCATGCATATATATTTATAATGAAACCCAGCAGTTTTATAAGGAACTTAGATATTTTTGGATCAGTTGACACAAATAAATACTTAATAATATGGGAAGGAAAGTAATCGTTCATTTTAGAATCCAAGTAATATTAAGATCAGACACTATTTTGTGATGTTATTACTTAAAAAGTTTTCATTTCATTTATATCGAAATAAAGTTTTGTCTTCAACCCCTCCTTCCGAACTGTTGGAATGTCCAATGAACTTATATTACTTACAAATGTATGTTAAAATATACATATATAAAATAAAACACTATATGTATATTTTATGTACTGAATTTGTTTTCATATAGTATTTCATAAATATAATACTTAAATCTATGAGTTTAGAATAAACATTTGCTGTACACAACTAATTCATTTCACTCACTCACTATCTGTTTTAGAAATGTACTAGTTCTTGTTATTTGCTTTCCTTGCTTTTCTGTTGCATATGCATGATTTTGTTTTGCAATTTAACTGTCAGCTGTTGGCGTATGAGTGATATTCAGTTTAATTTACAACTAGGTCTTGTTCGTGAAATTATGTATGTATATGTTAGTTTAGTTTTGGAATTCATTTAGTATTTTTGGTAATTATTTCAGTATGTAATTATATACGGAGAACTAAAAGTTTTAGTTTAGTTTTAAATTTAAACTGAAATTTTGGAGAAAGATTAAAAGATTTACCATCATAAATAGATTTTCATAAGACCTTACAAAGCCGTTATGGCCAATTTTCGTAAAATTTACTGTATTCTGTTGTTGTATTTTTCGTATTTTTTTTCATGAGTTACATCGGAATTTTTGCCATATTTTCGTTTTTTGTATGGACCGAGTTTACTGGTTTTAACTGGAAAGCTCTTCGAAAATATGCTTTATAGCAATATTAATCATTGGATCCCTAATATATCTGGAGTTTTCAGAACATTGACTTCAACCAACAGACTCACAGACAGATAGACGGACATATATCTAAAAAGGTTTATAAAATATCTATATAAATATAGTTATGACCTTCTCTTCGACTACCGGACACCTGTATGGTCCTTCAGGCAGAGATATATGCCATCTATACAGCCGCAAGAAGGATCCGGGAACTAAATCTCGAAAATTCGACTTGCATCAATCAAGGCTCTTAACTTCAATGTTATTAAGTCGAAATGACTTCTCAATCGTATTCAATCATTGGCACAACTGACACAATATCATTTTTAGTTGATATGGGTTCAAGGATATGAGGGCATCCGGGGAAATGAAATATCTGATGAATGTGCAACCAAAGGTTCGTCCCTAGACTTAACACTTGCGCAAAAGGATATTCACACTCCCCTAACGACCCTATCAAAATTGATAGATGAATGGGCTTTGAGTGAAACGGAACTCAGGTGGTCAAATATCACCACTTGTAGAATATCGAAACTGCTCCGGCCCACTCTGACAGCAGATAGGACTAGGACTCTCTTGTCTCTTAGTAAGAACTCGATTAGGCTTCTAACTGGTATAATTACTGGGCACTGTATGATTGGACATATGTCGGAATGTATGGCTACAAAATTATAGTTACTGTAGAAGCTGCTTGGACGAAGATGAAGTGAAATCGGTACAACACCTTCTATGTGACTGCCCAGCCTTACAAGAGCACAGTCTACTCTATCTTGGTAGAGCTTTTTTCCATGTTCTGGACTGTCTCAGAGATGCGTCACTAATAAACATGATCGGTTTTATTAAAAGCACCAGCTGGTTTACACGGAGACCGAACGAACCATGTAGTCAACGAAATATGGGAGGGAACCATTCTCTCAATATTAGGGAATGGTAATTCTAAGGGTAACACAATGGGCCTCCGAGTGAACTCGCTTGCTAGCGAGCAACCCACGTAACCTACCTACCTAGTTATGACATTTTCCCCTCTCTCTGGCAATATGTTGATTCTGCGGCCAAAGCAATGATCAGGCCCGTATTCAGAAAGAAGAATGTAAACAAATATTTAAAACTTTGTATGAAAAACACTTACAAAAACTGAATAGTTTTCATAAAAAAATTGAAAAATTTTTTTCTCTTCTTTTTTCTGAATTCGGGCATTAGTCGTACAGTCTGCACTATAAGGCAAGTATGGCAAAACTTCATAACCACTTCATTCTAAATAGTTTTTAATACATATTGCAATATTCGGCCGAGCATGTAACTTTGATGAATTGCAATTTAACCCCAAAATCGCGGAAAGATAATCTAGATTAACGGACTGATGCACGGTAAAATCTATATCTTGGGATAAGTTCAATGATGATGGCGGAAAGACATCAGATACCCCCCAGAGAAGTGACTGTGAGGCTATGCGTTGGGAATGGGTTGTTGCAAAATGAATAAGATGCAGAATGAATGAGGGGGTTTACGGGCCTGCCTGCCTGCCTCCACCCGTATACCTAGAATGAATATGTGAGATAAATGGGAAGTGACAGAGTTCAGATGTTCAGTATAGTGTGTGCTGTGAGGAAGATCTTGTCTTTGGCTTATTTGATGGATTCGTATTTCGATCTACTCATTGGTAAGGGAATAGATAGCTTGCGGAACCATATACAAAAATAGACACCACTGTGTTCTTTTCAAATCACAAAAGGGGTAAGTTATCTCTATCTCTAGCACAGGGTGGTTGGAAAAGGACCACCATGAAATATACCGTATACCGCAAGTGTTCACGTACCTTAAGTTTTCGACTTCTGTTCATTCTGCTCGGTTTTGGCTTCAAAATCATCAGTTGCATGCGGTACAGGTTATTTATATATGTTAAAATATATATTTGGGTAGAAAGTTCTGAATTCAAATATTTCATTTCAATGTGTAGATGGTATCTGTTGAGTAGTTTTTTAAAGTTGCAAGACATATTTATTTTCTACATACAAAAACAAATTATATGAATAATATTCACACTTTAAACAAACGATAAAATATATTAACAAACCAAACAAAATGACACACAAATAATATGCTGAAATAGAAATAAGCCAATTTCGGCCCAACGAGCTAAAATTAACAAATAGGCCTAAAAAAACTGCAGCAGCCGTCAAAGCAAATCATTTTCTGTGGCACATGCCAACGCATCAAAGTGTAAATGCATGCGTTTCTAATTTTAATGAGATTTTTTTAACATAAAAAATATGTCTGTAAAAAACTAAAATATGTGTATGTCTAACCAAAAATAATGAGACTCTTGAGTAGTAAATTTAAAATTTTTGAAAATATATATGGCTTGTTTATTAAATCTGTACTATTTGTAGTTGTTGTAATTTGTATATTTTTTTTCTTTACTGTATGTTTTGTTTTTTTTCTATTTCTTTGCAGATAAAACGCTAAAAAGCAAATAAAAATTAAATTAAATAAAATTCAATGTAATTAACTCAACTCTCAATGTTGTCGTAAAATAAATTAACAAGCAACTAAAAATACTAACAAGCAGCTACAAAACAAAAAATAGCAAAGTGTACAAACGAAAAACACAAATCAAATTAAAAAGCAACTAATATACAGTAAATGCAGCAAATAACAAAAAATAAATTTAACTAAAGCAAAAAAAATCATTTTTAAAGAAATGTTTGTCTGTTTTAAAAAATCAACAAAATTTAGTGCCAAATTAGAGTATGTAGTACCTGAAAAACATAAGATTTAAAAGACAAAGTTAATTAAAATAGCAACTGCAATAGCAGCAACAAAATGACAAGAGAACGAGGTTTAGCTTAAAGATAAAATAAATAATTAGAAGAAAATAAATTCAAAATAAAACGAAAAACTCAATTGTGTTCCATTAGCAAATAAGCAACTGAATTAAGAACAACTACAACAACACAATAAAATGGCGGGTCCACAAGTACAACGTCCACAAAGCGCCTACTATACTGGACTAAATGGTTCATCGAATGGCCATCAAAATGGTAATAGAGGTTCAGTGGGTGGTGAAGGTGCTCTAACCACTAGCACTTCACATCACACTGGCCTGCATGTCATACGTACCATATCACACGAAAGTGAACTCATCTATCGTGGTTCGAATGGTAATACTCATAATCTTAATAATAATACCTCCGCCACTTCAGTACAGGACACCTGTACGGCCAGTACAAGTCGTTCGATTATACAACAGCAACCCACCCTGCTGCATAATGCACCAACAAGTGGCGTAATAGGTGGTGTTGGTAGTGGTGGTGGTGGTCCTATTGGTAGTTCTATAAATTTAGCCACTATTGCCGGTACAGGTCAAAATCCTAATGATGCATTAATTGTTCCTGCAGCCACTCTAACGGTGGCCTCACAACATCATACCGAACCTGCAAATATTTCATCGCATTCCCTTAAAGCTTCCAGTAAAAATAAACAACGTAGTATAGAAATTATAGTTGATGCTACTAAATGTGATACAAAAGATGATGAGGATGATATTGAACAGGGTAAATCTAGACGTTCGTCGCGTCATCGCCATCGACCGTTGCATAGGCGGTTTCTAACATATTTAAAAAGTCTATTCCAAGGCAGCACAACACAAACTGGTAAGAATTTTTTTTTGGAATTTTGAGCTTTTTCACTTTTTAACAATTGCTTTAAATCAATATTTATTCATAAGTCACTACCCGTAGGTGTTTAACAATGTCTCCAGTGAATCAATGTCCCCTGGAGCCCTATTAAAATCCTTAGGTCTTCGTTAATAGTCGACCATACGTTTATATGTATGTACTATATTTTGAATTTTCATACTCCGGAGTATACTTGTTGCAATAATTACACATTAATCATACGCATGTATGGCCAATTTTGACAAAGAGCAAAATTTCGAAAAAGGGTAATAATTTTGTAATTTGTGGTCCGATTTGAATAAAATTTCACATGCCAAGAGAGGAAGGGTATTAATCCACTTGGCTGGATATATAGATCCCAAAGTAGGGTATCTCAAGAATATTAAAAACTAAAAAAAAATTGATTGTTGCAGGATTTTTTTTTAACTTTTCTTTTGAAACATTTGTACAATAAAAATTTATTCAAACTATTGTTCACTATTAGCTCTGACTTCTTTCCATATTTCTGGCAAAATATGTATTCTGTGCTATGCTCATTTTTTATCAAACCTATTTAATTTTAAATATCTTGTTCTTAAGGAAAGCCTATTCCAGAGAGAGCATTCTGCATCGTTCGAAACAAATAGTTGTCGGACGAGGCAAGATCTGGACAATAAGACGAGTGAATCAAAACCCCAACCCCTTTTATTCTTTTATCTCTTCTTGGCTTCAATTTGTATGGTACCAAATTTTGTTGCTTTTTAATGACTCCTGCTGCTTGCAAAGTTTAATAAAAATCCTCATAGAGTAATGCTTCCAATTCTTATTCTTCAAACTTTTGGCTGGTGGAAGCTAATGGAACATATCCATTATACGCTTCGTTGAGCAATCGGTGTACTTTTTTACACTAAGACAAACGAAATGACAAATAAGTTACTAAAGACAAATATCACGTAAAAAAATGTACGCATATTTCACCCTTTGGCCTTTTTATATCTTAAAGGATATATGATCAATCTGTGTCGTTATATACATATGTATTTGAAGAGGGTCTTTCATAAATGTATAAATAGGCAAAAACATTCATTTATTTTGCAATGTGAACTTATGTATTTATTTAATTAAATCCATTTTAGTAATTTCTACCATTAAAAATTTGTGTTCTTAAATTTTACACATTTAGAATTGTACCAGAGACACATATACACACTTAGGAATACATACATATGTATATACTTGCTGTGACTCGAATGCTAAACATCTTTCTAATGCATTTCCTGGTCATGTACAGGATACATACGCACATTAAACCTGCTCATCATTTTAAGAAAAAATTTCAAAATTATTTTATTGCATTCTATTATGTCCTTTCACAAACAAAATAATAACTTGGACCTAGGAACCTATATTAAAAAAAAGATAAAAAACAGAAAGACGGACAGACGGTCAGACAGACAGATGGACATAATCGACTTGGAGTAATTTTCATTATTAGCGAACACTTCTAATAACCATTCATAGAATCCTATGTGTTTGCTGGTCTATTGTTATTTTGGAAAATGTTATTGTTATTATACATGTAGAGTAGTTGCTATTGTTATGGCAATTCTGCTATTATTGTTGCAACTCTAAAGTAGCATCAAAACACAAACGACAGCTGCATAAACATTTTAGAATAATTTTAGTAGTTCTTTAGTTAGATTTTAATGTACTGAACAGGGTCGATCTCTTGAAATTTTATATGACATGTTTTTGCTTTTGTTTTTTTTTTTTTTTTCTCTACATACATTTCACAATATTTCGAGTGCATACAAGTAAATGTTGATTTTGTTGGTGTGTGTGTGTATGAGGATAATAAAAAAAAAATACTTTTATTATTATATTTCCAGCAGTATTTAACTCGAATAACAAACGCTCTTATATTCTTTAAAACTGAAAAACATTTTTTAAAACTATTAAATAGTAAATGCCAAACTTACACACCCTAGTGCAAAATACCTTGACCCATCCTGTTATGGGGGAATATAAAGGAGGTTGGTTGTGAAGCATATAAAGGAAGTAGTTTAGAGCAGCAGGATTCATTTAAAAGCAAGAACATTTGGTACTAGACCAATTGAAACCTAGAGACAATTGAAAAATAATTTACCGTGTCCAAAATTTTGAAATGAAAATTATTTTTCACCAAATCACTACCTGCGATGAAAAATTATTAGATTACGATAACCCAAAGCATAAGAACATTAAGTTCAGCCTGGCCAATCAGACGTATCGACACCAAAGTTCACTATCGCTGGAATTAAGGTACAGCTCGGTCCTATGAGATTTTAAGAATAAACATTTTTCTATTTTCACTGAGTGCATTCCTTTTTTGACATATGAAAACAAATAATACCTTTGCATATCCTGTGCATACAGTAAAAACATTTTTTCAACAAACATACTCTTCGTTAACCCCTGTGAGTATGCTATACTATTATTCAATGTCACTTTATATGCGTTTCATGTATGTGCATAATATAAGAGTAGATAGATAGTACCCAACAGTTCTTAAGCCATATTCTTTCTAAACATCAAACCACGTATCTGACTAAAAATTTTGTGTAAAATTTAAATAGTTTACATTATGTAAACAATGTATTATTAAGGTAAATAATATGCAAAATTGCGTAACCTAAATAACATAAGTTATTTTCAATTGCCAGCATGATGTCAACAATGTATTAGTAATAATAATCCAAAAATTGTCATGCTTTTAGCTTCTAACTGAACTTTCACCCCGAACTGCCGGTTGCATTTTAAAGTGCGTACGTGTCTGCAACGTATTTGGTTTATCTATTTTATTGTTTGTTTGTTTGTTTGTTTTAAAATATTTCAACAATTTTATTGTTCAACAAAAATAGTTTTTGGTCTTGTTTTCTTTTCTACCAATAAATTCAGATGAGAGTTTTCTTTACTACATTTTAAAATTATTTGATTTTTTTTCTCATTTCCTGCTTGCTGTCTAATAATATGTCATTGTTTGTGCATTTTATGTGCAAGTATGTGTGTGTTTGGGCATGCATATGCATGCAAATATTTGGCCTTTTTAGTAAAATTTAAAATTTATCTCCACAAACGTGTGATACACAAAAGTTTTTCTCTTTATTTACATAATATTTCAGTTAGAATTTTAGATATTTAAACTGTAAACCACATACGTGAAATTTACGTTTGCAATTGTCATTTATTTTTGGCTTGCGATAAATGAGAAATAATTGTGCGTTATCCTTGAATATAAAAAAATATTGGTAGTAAATTTCGTAATAGTGTTGGAGAAATTTTCGATAAAAGCTATAAAATTAGGATTGTATTAAAATACTCTTTAAATATTTAAAAAGTTACAATACAGTGGTCCATAGAGCAAATTCTTCTTTGGTAGTCCTTTTTGGTGGATTTCTATACGCTATGTGCAAACAGTTTATATTTACGTAAACGTAAACAACATATTGTTAGTGTAAACAATGTAAAAACATTAAAAAATTCCTAATGTATATAGATAGTTTACTGCACAATAATTTCTATACTTTACATGATATAAACAATATATTTATAAAGTAAATTTACAAGGAATTTTAAGTGTAAATCAAAACAACTTTTTCCTTCAAAAATTTCAATTGTTTACACGATGTCTACAATATAAATGCATAAATAATACAACAAAGATCCAAAATGAGATCAATTCTTCTCAATTTATTAATTAATTTATATATGTAAACAATGTATTTTAATTAAAAACTTGCCAAGCTTTTATTAAAACTGTTTTCTTAAACTGCTCAACAATTTTCATAGTTGACACAAAGTAAAATATGTGTTTTTAGCCTAAATATTTAAAATATATTGCAATATTACCAAAGGTAACGTAAATTTTTATTAATTTCTTATAAAATCAATTATTTACATAATGTAAAGAATGTATTTTTAGTGTAAATGATAGTTGGCACAATGTTATAAATGTATTTTTAGCGTAAATAATTAAAATATATTGCAAATTTAACAAAAGTTATGCAAATTTTTATTAATTTCTTATAAAATCAATTATTTACATAATGTAAAGGATGTATTTTTATTTAGTGTTAATTATATAATATTATTAGACATTTCAAAAAACTTATGTTTCTTTTTTTCGGGGGAGTTTTCCGGTTCGGGGGAGTTTTCCAGATTTTTCCTACCGAGCGCGTCCCCGGGTGGCGGATAGGGGGTGGTGATGGACCATCTGTCCTCTCCCAGCTTTAATTTCACTTAAGCTGAGGGAGGGCAGATTGTCCACCACCTGGGAATATTATATTCCCCGCGGACCAAAAAACTGGAAAAAAAAAAAAAAAAAAAAAAAAAAAACAAATATGGAAAATAAAAATAAAAAGATAAAAGTTACGGTGCAGGGCCTAAATAACCCAGTACCGGCGGCAAGTGTTGATCTACTCGCGAGTCACGTGTCGTCGTCATCCTGCAATCGTGAGCAGAATACTACTACGGAGGTGGGTACCTTGGCCTCCGTGGCGGACAATGCGTCAAGTGTACAGCATGCCGCTGGCAAAAATATAGGGGTGAAAGAGAAGGATGTACTCGGAGAGAGCTCTAAGCTACCTCAGCCTTTAAATATAGGTGAGGGTTCCGACTCTGAATCCTCAGATGATAATAATAATAATACCATTATAGCAAATCCCAAAAAGGATGAAGTAGAGCAAATGGTGAAAGAGGTGAGTGATAGCATAGCTAAACTACCTATTACTAAGAAAAGACTTTCTGGAGCACAGAGGAGGAAGTTGAAAAAGATGCTTCAGGAAATCATAGTTAGTCAATCCCACGACACTCCAAAGGAATCGGACTCTCTCACAAGATCTGAGGCAAAAAGGATCAGGTCACCCGAGGAGTTGACAACTGAGAATAAGCCTAAGAAGAAAAAGAGCTCCCCGTCTTCTAATACACAGTCGAAGCCAAGCCATACTTCACTCAAAGGA